ATGGTGGCAAGGTTTAAATTGATTTTATCAGCATCTGAGTGTGATTAAACTGAAATGAAAATTGTGATGATTCTTATGAAAATTATTATTTTCCGAAATTGAGCAGGATTGGAATGAAAATGAGAATTTCATTGTTTTTCTGGAGTTGAGCATGCCCACATGAAATTGTTTTCATTTGCATTGAGTAGAGCATGCCTACTTGGAATTTACTGAACTGCTCTGATGATTTGAAAATTTTTTGAAAATTCTGATTTCTCTGTTAAATCCATGTTCACATGGAAATTTTTCGGTTTATTTCTGAAATTTGAGATTGATTGTGAATTACGGATTTTTCTGTAAATCCTGCATGGTTTTGTCTCGGATATAGTCATGATTATTGACGCCCGCCAGTGGAGTTTGTAAACATTGGCAAATGTCGACATGTTTACTGATATGACCGGTCCATTCTGTAATCCTGCTAATGGGATAATACATTGGTAATTACTGACGCCTGCCAGTGAGAGTTTGTTAAACACTGGTACTACTGACGCCTGCCAATGGGCGAATACATTGGTAATTACTGGCGCCTACCAGTGGGAGTTTGTTAAACACTGGTACCATTACTGACGCCTGCCAGTGGGAGTTTGTTAAACACTAGTACTTCTGTAACCCTGCCAGTGGGGTTAAACATTGGTTATTACTGACACCTGCCAGTGGGGTTAAACATTGGTTATTACTGACACCTGCCAGTGGGGTTAAACATTGGTTATTACTGACACCTGCCAGTGGGAGTTTGTTAAACATTGGCCATGACTTATAGATGAGACTACTACTGAATTTTCTTCTGCATTGATGGTTTGTCATTGAATGGTTTGTTATTGAATTGAATCTAATTCTGCATAAACGGTTTGTCATTGAACGTTTTGCTATTGAATTGAATTTGATTCTGCACTAACGGTTTATCATTGAATGTTTTGTTATGTTAAACTGTTTATCAGGCATGTTAAAATTTTACCCAAGGGCTATCCATATTTACTTATTGAGTTATCTCATAGTTTTCCTTGTCCGCCATTTCAGGAAGCGAAACCGAGGACGGGGAAACCAAGGGGAGTGACGAGGTAGAAGGCTAGTCATTCTAATTGGATATAAGTTTTAGATTTTATCATCCTTTTGTAAGGTAGATTTTATTCTTGAGATTTTGTGAATTGAATAAGTTCCGAGCCTTGTGCACTTGTGAGACCCGTCTCACGAGTGCACGGCGTCTGCCACGTCCCCGGATTTGGGTTCTGGGGCGTGACAGATATCATATAAAAATTAAATATGTGGATTCAATACAAGATTTGCATCCATAAAAAAAAAAATCAATTGAAAATAAGTGGAGTAACTCTCTTTATATTTAACTCAAAAACTCCTTTATTATATCATTCATGTGGGATTTTCTCACTCAACAGGGATAATAGGTGAGAGTCTTGAGACTAGACACTCTGTCACCAATTCAATAGGTAATAGATATTGGAGTTTTATTTTCAATTCTAATTCTTTGGTATGAGTTTACTTTTATTATTATTATTATTATTATTATTATTATTATTATTTCTTCCTATACTTGAAGCTGTAGTAACGAGAAGCAAATTAATGGTTGTGTTCCCAGTGTCTTTAATGTTTAATTTGCTTGCATTTTATTATGAATGTGGTAGATGTGCAAAGGTTAAATTTAACGCTTCTAGAATGATTGTAGACATTTTTTTGAATGCATCTTGGAGCTTTTCTTTAAAAAAGTTTTTAATTTGAACTTACCTTATATTTGGGTTGAGGGGGAACAGAAGAAAAGGGAAGGGAAGGGAATATGAAATTGCAAATTGCCTCATAACCCTCCAATAAGCAATCAAGTACTTGTAACATTATATATATATATATTAATTTACTATCACGTAAGATTGTCAACTTATAATTTTATATAAAATTGTAATTATAGTATCGTTGTTTTAATTTAGAGGAGATAAATTGTTTACAAAAATGCTATAGTTACAACACTACATAACATTGTAAATTTACAACATGATATATCATTATATAATTAAATTTTTTCATTTAAGAATCCATCCATAATATTATATATATATATATTCACTCGATTAATATCACATCATATTTCAGTAAATGTCAAGTAAAATTATAATTATAGTGTTGTTATCAGTGAAATATGAAAATTTTTCACAAAAAATATGCTATTATTTGATTTTAAAAAATTAAATAAAATTAATTGTAAAAAATAAAAAAATATTGACCCCATAACCTTATAGAATTGGGTTACCCCTTAACCCGTTCATGAACCAATTGGCTACATAACCCAAGGTTTCCAACCGATTGAATCAAGGTTCTTGGATTTGGTAGTGAATCACTAGACGTATTGGGCAGGTTTTTGTCTAATCTGCTCTAGAAATTAACAATTAATTTTGGTCCAGCATTAAGTCTGGGTTAGTTATTTTCATGGTGTCCACAATCTTATTCTAGTACTATAATTTTTTACAGTAGTTTAGGCGGGGCAAAAATCCTTCTTAAGCCCTTAAATTTATTTTAAAATAATATTGAAACCCCTAAACTAAAAATAAAGCAGATAAGCCCTCCAACTCTACTAATGATATAAATAAACTCTTCTCACAAATGGGCCAAACGATATATCTCACAATGGACTAACTCCATTTCTTTTTTGGACTTTAACTACTCCATGTAGAGACATATGCTGATGTGGCACTACTCCATGTATAAAGGGATCAAAGTGCCCATTGTATAAAAACTAAAGGATCAAATATGCTATTTTACCATGAAAATAATAGCAAAAGGGAGTTACCAACCCGACATGGGTATGGTGTTGATACATATATTTTAGTGTTAGCACCATGCATTAAGCCTTGCCAAAATAATTTGGTGTGAAATAACTAAAAGTGCATACACTAAAAGCACATCCAGCATTAATAATTTTCTTTTTTTTTTGTCCTAAGTTCTACTTCATTTAAATTATTTAATTTTAATTGTTTATATAAATTTATAATTAATTAATATTGATAATTAATTAGTCTATAATATTTGGGAAACAATATTTAATTTTCATTATTATATTACTTGAACTAATTAATATTCTTGTTAAAGTAAATTTAGTTTATTAGTAACCTAAATAGATTTTACTTAAATATAAACAAAGACAGAAACTTGGAGTTTAAACCATATATATATATATAAAAGATTAGTGCATACCAATTCTGATTTTAAAAAAAATTAAAATTCTAACATATATTTAGAAACTGAACTTTGAATTTAAAATTTAAAAATCTATTCAGTTTTCAAATCTAAATATCAATATTTAATAAGATAAATTTTTAAGTCTTAAATTAAATTTTAATTAAATAAAATGACATAATTTAATATTAGAACTCTAAATTTTTAAAAATCGAGACTGCTATATATTTTTTCACATATATAATAATGAATAGAATTGGAATGGACTAAAATCGTGTGGAGGAAGGAGACGAGAAGCTCTTTTAACATTAGAGCCTTCTCCGATCTGTCAACACATGTATCAGGCTTCCATTGATCTCCTTTAGAAAATCCCTTCATCCTTAACCAACCATTCAATCATCCTACACGATGAAAACCCATTCGGAAATCACCATTCCTTCTCGATTTTCCATGTTCCCAGCACCGCAAGATACTTCCAAAACTGTAGTATAACCTGGTCGAGAAGAAGCATGCTATAGTTTTAGCTTTTGGGTAGTCTTCCTTGAGCATCAAATGATCAAGATGTGTGGTTAGCATCAAAGGACGGTATTAAGTGCTCCATCCATAAGCATCCCCAAGTGGACATCTTTCCTTCTCCCATCACTGCTCTTAAATTTATCCCTTTTCGTTCTTGAAGGACTTTCGAAAGAAAGGTTGCTGCACCCTTCCTACCCAACATGAAAGCCATCTGATATAGGGTGAAAGTGTTCACCAGAGATGATAAAGGTCTCATCTGGTGTCATTACTATCATGTTACGATGTTTTATGTGTAAAAACAACTTCCAAGTTGTAACTCTTAAGCCCCACATGTTTACCATCTTCGTCACCTTTCCAACAATATATGTATGTTCCCATTGTTAGTTTTGATAGTTGTATAATCATTCCAAGTCTGTGAATCCTCGCCATTGCTATCCGATTCCATCAACTTAGCCGGGAAGTTCATATTTCTTCAACTTCGTTGGGGAATTTGCTGTGGGATACCATCACTGGGCAGAACGGAATGACCAGTAGCATGTAGCCATGCGCACGTGAGACGGGTGCCGTTGAAAGAACCCCTCTTCATTTCTTTGGGTGTCAGCCTAGTCAGCCTCCACATCACCACTGCTGCTGACTCATCCACCTACATCACCAACGCACCCCAACAAATACACTATCCTTTCCTACCTCACACTTGCCAATCCCTTGGAAAAGGATTGTGTCTCTTGGAAATTTACTCCTAATGGATCATTCACACTCTTCTCTACTTATCACATGATCTGTAATTTTGAGTCACAAAACAAGGAAGTCTCATGGAAATGGATTTGGAAATGTCCCATTATTCCCAAAATTAATTTCTTCATATGGTTGCTTGCTCATGATAGAATCCCTTCAAGGTTTCTTTTAGCCTCTTGTGGTATACAAGTCCCTAGGGGTGGGCATCGACTCGATTCCGCTGGAATCGAACCCGAATTGACGGTTTTAATCGGTTGATTATTTTGTAAAATGACAATAAAAAATCAAATCGAAAATATTTCGGTTATTCAATTCGGTCACCAAATTAGTTGGTTCGGTTGACATCGGTCTCGATTGTGACCCATTCTAACCTTAGGCCCTTAGCTATTTTTTTGGGTTTGGGCCTTCCATTTTGTGGCCCAAATATCCAACAAATGCTTTGTAATCCATTTCCTTTAATTTTATGATACAAATATTTTGAACCAAATATCCAAAGATTTCCAAAGGGAAGTGTTTGAATTTTTGAGATTTCTTTTGTGAATTTATCTTGATTGACATGATACATAGATCATCTGAAAAGGAAAAATTTAGGGTTAAGGAAAAAACAAGTGATTAATTTGTTAAAAAAAATTAAGATTCTCTTTAGTATATTGTTTATAATACTTATAATTATAATTCTCTTTTATGATCCAAAGCCCATTTAGCTCTATAAAAAATCATCTATTAATTAATGGATGATTTCAACAAAATGCAGGTACAATAAACTCAATTTCTGCAAAATTAAACAACAGGTTTAACCAAAAAAATTAAATTAAAAAAATCCATAAACTCAACTAAGAAAAACCCACTTGAGACAACAATATTAAACGATTACATACAAAAAAACTATACCCAAAAATTAATTGCTCCAATCCGCTCCATTTTAGGAAATCTAAACAAAAGTTAGATGCTATATGATAGCTAGTGCGCAACCTCAACACTAAAAAAGGAAAAATCCCAAAAAAAATCAAATAAATTACAATCCCAAATATAGAAAACCACACCCAGAACAAACCCATAAACAATAAAAATGTATTAGATTGTGATTAGGTGAATATGCAGATCCTGGGTAATTTTTTTTAATTAAGTTATAATTTAGTTTAACTTAAAAATATTAAATAAAAAATTATAGAATATTGTGGATTTCGACATCATCATGAGCCCTATTTTTCTAGGCAAGAATAGTGCGAATTTAGTCTCCTTTACAAATTATCTTATCTTCTCCACCTAGCAATCTTCCCTTTTTCTCACTGTTCTCTCCCCAATCCTCTCCTTTATAGAACCAAAGCCTAAAAATTTAACTGAAGAAACCTAAAATTTTCCGGCAACCAGTGATGGTGGCGGCATCTGAAGAAAAGAAAAATATAAAACAAAACTCAGTACACATATATATAAAAAGGAGAGGAAGTGTGACCTTATAACATGCGACGATCGTCGATGATTGAGGCCGCATGCAGTGGTCATGAAGGAGAGATGCGGAGATAGAAAGAGACAAGAGATCTTAGTAGGGCTTTGATTTCATATTTGTAAAGATATGAAAATAGATTAGGGTTAGAGATGGATGAGATCTTGGCTGACTATTAAAGGGAGAAAATGAGGAAAGGAAGTGAGAAAAAAGAAAGTGAAAGTGAAGTGAGAAGGAAATATGAGAGATTAAAGATGAGTATTCCATTTGAAAATTAGAGGGAATGGTTGAAAATTTCTAAATTGGGGTCGGGGGAAAGGTTTTGGCGGAGAGTTCGGAAGGCGGAGGGGGTGGGTAGATGAAAATTTGCAGGGGAGGCTGGGAGGGAATGAAT